AAATTGACACAGGCCCACAAACTTTGAGTCCAATAAACATGTGAAACAATGAGAATTTTATTTAAAATTGAAACTGTAATTTACAGTACTGGCACTATATTTTCACAGGATGCTAATTTTCATCAATGCTGTGATCTTATTAAATATGAATAAATAAATATGAAATGTTTGGAGACTATATGTTATCTTAGCTTCTCTGCAAAGCTGCATCATTAGTCAGTGTGTTAAGAACTTTTTTGGGGGGGGTGTTGCCAGGCAATGGGGCTAAATGACTTGCCCAGGGTCACACAGTTAGTGAATGTTTTATGTGTCTAAGGCAGGATTTGAACTCAGGTACTCCTGACTCCAGGGCCAGTACGCTATCCACTGCACCACCTAGCTGCCCCCAAGAACTTTTTTTTTTTAAGCATTTACCAGCCCCTGACCAGTTTACTAGGTGTTAAGGGGAAATACCAAATTAATAACAATAATAGCTAAAATTTATATAGTGCTTACTATGTGCCAGGCAAAGTGCTTTATAATTATTATCTCATTTGATTTTCACAACAAGCCTGTGAGATAGGTGTTATTATTTATCTCCATTTTGCGGAAGCAGAAACTAAGGCAAACCAAGGTTAAATGACTTGCCCAGGGTCACACAGAAGTCAGCTCTTCCTGACTCCTGGCCCAGGTCTCTATCCATTGCACTAACTAGCTGCCCATTAATTATTAAAATTAAAAACAGACTTGGTCCTGAAAGCGGATGAGTTATAACCACCATTAACAAAGTTTATACAGCACATCAGAAGGTATCTGGGACTCATTCGACTGGACTTTCCCTGATGAGAGTCAGTGTGGCTTGTCAAAGACTCTGATAGCCATGAACTACGAGGTGGACTGAGTGATCTGGGCATTGGCACATGGTAGAGATAACTTCCTGGAAGGAAGTGGTGCATACATAGCAAGAGGAATGGGGGAAGGGCAGGGGAGGAGACAGGGTGATGGAAGCAAGCACTGGGTACCGAGCCCAGTGATATTCATGGGTTGGTAGTTTTTACCCTAGGCCAAACCTCACAGCCACGAACTCCTGAGCTGCAACTCACAGGGTGGCTTGGAAACGTGTTTTCCGCTTCAACCGAGAGCCCTTCCTATTTCTGAATGGGCTTTTTGGACTCGGTGCTTTGCACTTGTTGAAGCATGGTTTTTATCATACAAATGGTCATATTCAGACTGAAGTGCTGAGATACCAGGGGCCCTGGCTGCACATGCCTAAAGACCGTCACAGGTACATACACACACACATATATACGTGTGTAATACATAATGTATATATATAATGACTTCATGACCCATAAGTGGTAGATCTGTTTTCCTCAGATGTCATCTTAAAATATGTGTCTATAACATAGATACATATATTATATACATATATCTATTCATATGACTTTATGACCTGTAAGTGGTAATCTGTTTTCCTTAGATGCCATCTTAAAAATATATATACATAACATATATACACATATATTGCATGCATATATAATATATATGTGTTTATAATATATACATGTATTATATTTTATGTTTTTAAGATAGCATATATAATATGTAAACATATAGCATTATTTAATATATAATGTTATATATGTGTCTATTTTTGAGACGTCATCTAAGGAAAACAGATTACCACTTATAGGTCATAAAGTCATATTGAGGACACACATAAGAATGAAGTGTGAGTAAGTCATCCTCAGATATGAAGCCCAAGTATTTATAGACACAACTTTAGTCTCTGATTTGCCTAGTGCTCATCAATGATAAGCAAATTAGAAAATGGCAACAATGACCCCTTGTTGTCAACCTAATGATTTTATTATAAACAATAATACATATAATTATTTAAAACAATAACAATAGCTAGCATTTATCTAGTGCTTGAAGGCTGTTAAGACACCTCACATACATGATCTCATTTGATACTTTCAACAACCCTGTGAAACTGGTACTGCAGGTATTATCATCCCCATTTTAAAGACGAGGAAACTAGATTTCAAACAGATTAAGTGATTTGCCCAAGCATTAGTAATGGAGCCTGAACTCAGTTTTGTACCGACTCTAACCCCAGTTGATATCTGCTCTCTTCAGAAGACTGCTGACAGCTTAAAAAGGTGGCAGAGTTATAAAGTGCCGTTTTTCCTTCTATTCCTAAAGGTAATGGTTGGGGTAACATTTATTATTAAAAACTCAAGTTTCTATAGCACTTTAAGGTTTCCAAAGCCCTTGCCTCACAAGCCTGTGAAGTGCCACAAGTATGATTCCCATTTTACAGATAGGAAAACTGAAAAACAGAATAAACGACTTTTCCATGTTCATAAAGACAGCAAGTATTAGAGCAGAGACTCAGACCTGGGTCTCCCAAATCCAAATGCTTCTGTCTTGCCACTTTATATGCTGCTTTTCTTTTGATATAATAGGCTACCCTAATGAGGATAGCATCCTTCAGTTAAAAGAAGGAAGTTAAGAGTGAAAAGAAAATTAGTAGCAATACAGACAATAATCTAATTTCCTAGGCATTTGATAAACTGTGGGGCTAACCCAAATACTGTTTTTTAATCTAAATATTAAATTAAATTTTTTTTCAAATGAAGATCTGCCTTCTCTCCCTCCCATCTCTTCCATCTATGTACTAATTATTGAGAAGATTCAGGAAAATATATTAATGATCAAAATTATTTAGCAATCTTACAACTAATTTATTTTGCTGTTTAAAATCACTAAGCTACTCACGTTCTATTTAGAGTTAATCAAGAAGAAATAACTGAAATACTGTACCAACCCATAGCAGCGGAACCTTTGGACACAACTACATTATTCTCGATAAGAAGATGGTTAAGAGTTTCTTCTGGGGAGCAGCTAGGTGGTGCATTGGATACAGCACAGCCCTGGATTCAGGAGGACCTGAGTTCAAATCCGGCCTCAGACACATAATACTTACTAGCTGTGTGACCCTGGGCAAGTTACTTAATCCCCATTGCCCAACCAAAAAAAAAAAGTTTCTTCTGTTCCTTCCTCATTCTTGCAGTGGAGAGTGTGCAGGGCCTGGAGTCAGGAAGGTCTGAGTCCAAATCTAATCTCAGACCTTTACTAGCTGAGGACAAGTCACTTAACCTCACTTTGCCTCAGTTTCTTCATCTGTAAAATGGGGATAACAATATCACCTACCTCAAAGGGTTGTTGTAAGGCTCAAATGAGATAGATAATAATTATAAAGTGCTTAGCACACTGCCAAGCACATAGTAAGCATTACATAAATGTTGGCTCCTATTATTATTATTATTATCTTTAATAAATCAATTGAGATCATAATGGGGAAGGAATCAGCTTACTCTTCATATCAGTCTAAAGTAACAGTTTGTTGGCCTTAGATGAGTAAGTAAACCTTCCAGTTAACAAAAAAAAAATATCTTGACATATGAACTGAACAAACTGGATATGAAAACTAGCAGAGTGTATTCTCCATGAACTCATCATTTATACTCTCAATTTCTGACTGTGAACTCCACAGAGCATCTTAGTATCAAAAAATGTTTTACTTTCGTTAAGAGCATATGTACTCCGCTCCTAAAGCAGGGGGTTCTTAACCTTTCGTGTGTGTATGATGGATATCTTTAGAAGTCTTATAAAACCTTTGGACCCTTTTTTAAGAATAATGTTTTTTAAATAATTAAAGAAGTGCTAAATTTCAGTCAAGATATTAGTAAAAACAAAGATGTCATTTATTTCCAATTCAAGTTCATGGACCTCCCTGAAATCTATCCACAGAACTCTACGCAAGAACCCCAGCCCTAGCAATACCCCACACATACTATCTCAGTGCCCAGAACCTTCCTTTTACAAACAAGGAAAAAAGTACCCACCCACAAACAAACTCCTTTCAAGACATACCAAAAGCCTTTTACAATACATATGAGTGGTTAAAAGTTTCCAGATGGATAACGTGCTGCTTTCCAAACCCTAACAAGAAGTTCTAGGACAGCTCCTGCAGAATTGCTACCACTTAAAAACTAAAGTCTGTCATGATTTACTCCAGTTTCCTAATATAGCATCCACCATACTGAGGATGGAAAAGTTGACTTAAAACTCCTAACACCTAGAGATTGCGCTCTTCCTTTTCTCTTGTCCAAAGACCTTCTGCTGGACTCCTGATATTTTTTCCCCCTGTTCAATGCACAAATTTGGGGTATGTCCATAAATCAACAGCTAATTTAAACCAATTATGAAATATATGCACACAGGTGGCTAGGGTTAACAGCCTCCCCCCCATATATGTGGGGCATACCTAAAAATCCAAGGAGTGGGCTGAAGGAGAGAATTCTAGGTCACTTCCTTGCTTGGCCCACAGAAGTCAGGCACCCCTTCCCCACAGAATAGGCCTGCGAATGGGAGGAAAGACAGGAGGGAGGAGGAGGAGAAAAGGGAAAAAAAAAAGGCCACAAGTGCCAAATATCAGCTTTGGTCCTCCACTCAAAGAGGAAGACAGATGGTGAAAGACGAGAGGGTACCAAGAGCATTCCTTTCCTCTTTCTGAGACAGAGAAGGTGAAAGGTGAGTTGGGTCACGTCCATGAAATCTGCTCCAGGGCGAGGACAGGGCAATGCTGGAGGAAAATGGGGTCCTGTTCTTGGATCTGCTCTTTGATCCGGATGGCTCCAGGAGACCTGTTCTGGCCAGTCCTACCCATCCCCTCGTTGGACTTCTCCTCCTCCTCCTCCTCCTCCTCTTCCCTCCCCCCGCCCCCCACCTCTTCGCCTAGCGAGCCCCAGCTCCACTGGCGGCTCCGCCTCATCCCGACCGGCTGACGGGAGCGGAGGGAGGGAAAGAGGGAGCGTGGCGTGCGGAGGAGGGGACTCGCGGCTGGGGCTTGGGATGCGCCCCGCGCCCCCGCCGCCGCCCCTGCCCAGGCTGCCGGCGCTGCGCTCTACCTGCGCCCAGCCCCGCGCGCTCTCCTCTGCGCTCACACTCACCAAGAGCACGGAGCCCCGCACCACCTCCGACACGCTCTGCCGCAGCTCGGCCGCCGTGCCGGGCTTGCTCAGCGCCCGGGTGAACTTCCGAGTCTCCGCCGAGGCGGGGAGCAGCGGCGGCTGCGACATCCTCTGCCTCCTGGCCGCCGCCGCCGCCGCCACCGCCGCCGCCGCCGCCTCCTCCTGCTGGAGTCCCGGGCCGCGCCGATCCGGCCACCGCCAGGTGCAGCCACCGCAGCCGGCCCAGCTTCTCGCTGCTGCTCCTCGCTCCAGGCTCCTGCCGGGGATCCCGAGAGAGCGGGCGGGCGGGCGGGCTCGTGGGCTGCGCAGGTCCTGGCTCGTCCCCTCCCCGCCGCCGCCGCCGCTGCTGCTGCTGCTGTCAAGCCTAGTTCCTGCCTCCTCTTCCTCTGCTAACGCCCGGGACGGCTGGGTCGGCGGCGACGGCTTCCCAACTCACTCCGGGCAGTGCTCCCGGTTGTTGCTCCTGAGGCTGTCCCGGCTCCCCCATGCTACCAGCTCTCACCGCCGGCGGCCTCCTCCTCTGGGCGGAGTGTCCAGCCCAAGGCGGGGCCGCGGAGTGGAGGAGGCGGGGCTGAGCCCCATCCTGAAACTGGCGAGCTCTCAGGGCCCCCCACCCCCCGACTCGGTAACGCGTCTGGGGAAGGAGGGTACCACTTGGTCTTTGGGCTAGTCCGGAGGCGAAAAGGAAATAAAAGAATTGGGTGAGGTGTGCGGATGAGAAGGGCTCCCCAAAAGGGATGAAAGTTAAAATAAAAGGTGGAGAGGGTAAAGTAGAATAGAGAGAGAAACCTGAGGCAAAAATACCCATGCATGAGACTTTACCCTGCAAAAAGGGGAAAGGGGGGAGGAGCCGAGATAAAAAGGAGTTTGGGACTGAAAAGAGCAAGATAACCCTTGAAGGAGACACATGACATACTTTATTGAAGGAAATAACCAAAATGTCCAGGGCAATACTTGGAGAATTCATTTTAGAAAGGCTACCCCAAGAACAGAGCTTTCAATTATAATTTCCCAAGAGGGGAGGAAAGCAGCTAAGAGGCCTACAATTCCTCTTATATGGAGAGAGTACTGTATCTACCATGGGGGTATATTTAAACCTTTCATATACTAAAATGGTATTGTTGGTATTGGGGTCAAAAAGTAGCCCTCCCCCTTATTATTTCTTTAATGCAGTGGAAAGAGGCTATAGAGTCAGAAAACCTGGACTACCTCTGATAATGACTTTTCTATATGATCCTGAGCAAGTCACAACCTCCCTGGACCTCCCTTTCCTCATCTATAAAATGAGAGAAATGGAAGTTTAAGATGTGTAATTTGGTTTGTACAACTCCAACAGTACCTCATTTCCTCTCCAACTTAGTAGATGGTCTTTGACAGTTGCTATGGCTAAAAATAAGGCTGGTCCTCTAATGAAAGACATGCATGTAGACGGGTAGGCATCTCAGAGCTTATCTTCCTGTAAACCTAACTAAGCCTTCAAGAACTGTCACCTCAATATGACAATGAAGCGTGCATAACAAGAGCACAAGTGGAGAGATGGAAGGGACCTTAAAGCCCATCTAATTACTAGACCAGTTACTAGACCATCTAGTTCTAGTACAACCCTTTCATTTTCCAGATGACAGAATGAGGCCCAGAAAGGTTCAGTGATTTACCCAGGGTCACACAGCAGATTTGATTCCTGACTGAAAGTCCAGTGCTCTCTCGACTTCATTATTTACTGGAGAACTTAACAAATAATTGTTTAATAAATGGGTGAACTATACCTTTGTTTCCTTGAGATGAATTGAAATTTCCCTGTCCTCATCTTCCCAGCTGCTAGTGCTCCACCCCCAAAATTTTCTAGAATTTATGTATTTATTTTGTATGTTTTATGTCTCTTTAGAAAAGAGAGGTATGAGAGGCAGCTTTGGCATAAGGGAAAGCTAGCTGGCCTTGGAGCCAGGAAGAAATGAGTTAGAATTCTGTTTCTGACATTTCTGCCTCTATAATCCAGAGCATGTCATTTAAGCTTAGTGGGCTAAGCAACTTTCTAACTATAATTTGGAGAGAAGATAGCATATTAGCATATTAGCACAGCTATATTAGCTATATTAGCAGAGGAAGTTTTCTCACCTCGGAGCTCCCTATACTAATAAAATCACAAGTCCAGTCTCTGCCTCTGTGTTTTGTATACATGTATATGTTGTCGGTCCTAATAGAATGTAAGTTCTATGAGGATAGGGGCTGTTTCGTTTTTGTCTTTGCACACCTAGCACTTAACAATGCTTAATAAATACTTTGTTGATTGGTTTAGCTCCTTCACCATCAGTAATTTTCCCTTCAAAAAATAGGCTGGTAAAACCAAAGCTACCACTGTATGTGTTCAACTCCTGAAGTCAAAGAAAACAAGGACTATAATGTTTTATAGTGAAGCTACAAGTACTTTGCTTACTACCCTTAGTGTAGTCATTTAAATGGTTGTAGTTGTATATTATTTTCATTGTGTTGCAGGTGAAGTAACAGGTAAATTTCACCTTACTTATAAGATCTGCATCGAACTTCCATTATTTTTTGAAACATTCAAAAAACCTCAAGTGGACCCAATCAGAAACTTTTAAAAGGGGAAGAGGGATCCCAGAGTTAGATAAAGTCTGTCCAATAGGCTTACTATCCAGAGCAATTCTTTTTATTGTGTCTATATTTAAATTTCAAGGTCACTCTGTGAGGAAAAATTTGAGAGAGAAATAGTGAAGTATTTTGAATTTTATTATATTCATTCAAGTTTAAATGGTTCTGGAAAGCTCCCTAAAGAAGCAGTGATGCCTAAAGAAGGCATCGAGGTGGTGCAGTAGATGGAGCTCTGGCCTTAGAGTTAGGAGGACCTGAGGTCAAATGCAACCTCAGACATTAACACTTACTAGCTGTGTGACCTTGGGCAAGTCGTTTAACCCCAACTGCCCCACCAAAAAGCCAAAAAAGAAGAAGAAGAAGAAGCAATGAGTTTCCAGGCCATGTGGTGAAGGCTGGACGAGAGGAGAGCTTTTAGTACAGAAGATTCATGCAGGTTAAGAAAGACTCCTGAAAGAAAACACAGGAGTAGAGGGAAGAGATCTTTAGAGAAGCAGTTTAGGTATAGTATAAAGAGAACTAGACCTGAAATCAGAACATCTGGATGCAAGTAACAATTCCTCTACTTACTAGCTCTGTGACCTTAGGCAAGTCATTTAACTTTAAGGCTTCAGTTTAGGGCTTCAGTTTTATAGAGTACTTTAAATTTTGCAAAGTGCTTTCCATCCAACCATCGTCTCATTTGAGCCCCACAGCCACTCTTTGAAACAGGTATTAATTATCCTCATTTTACAGATGAGGAAACAGGACTCTTAAGTGACTTGTTTATATAGCAAAATTTTAATGCAAGCAGGTCATACTAACTGTTCAGTACAGTATCCATTAGGCCCCTGAGAGGTTGAAGGATCATGGGATCCAACAGTTAGAGATAGAAGGCACCTAGTTTAACTTCCACCACACCTCTCTATTTTATAGATGAGGAAACTGGCCCAGAAAAATTAAGTTACCTTGACCAAGCTTGCACAGGTAGTAACAGCACTGGGATTTGAATTCAAATATTTCGACTCAGTGTGCACAATATTGTTAAATGGCATAATACGTGTACATCACTTTGCAATTCCTTGTGTAACTGTAAAGTTATTAGTATGATTGATATCTTTCAGAAGAGAGCTCTTTCTACTGAGTATTTTAAATATTCTCATGAAAAGCCAGAATGTAGAGTATATTATCTCTAATCTCCACAACTCTCTCCCATTCCCTAGCCTATGAGATGAGACTAGCAGTCCAAACATTAGAAACTAAGGGGCTGTTTTCCTGTTTTGCTTCTATACTAAAAGCTCTCCTTCCTCTTGTCCAACCTTCACCACGTGGCCTGGAAACTCATTGCTGCTTCTTCTTCTTTTTTTTTTTTTTGCTTTTTGGTGAGGCAGTTGGGGTTAAATGACTTGCCCAAGGTCACACAGCTAGTAAGTGTTAATATCTGAGGTCACAAGTTTTCCTGTTTTCTGAGTTAAACAAACTGTGGTATATGAATGCAATGAAAATATTATCCTGCCATAAGAAATGATGAAATGGAGAATTTCAAAGGAAACTAGGAGAATCTTTATATGAACTATTCAGAATGAAGTGAGTAAAACTAGGGGAACAATTTATACAATGATGTCATTATAGAGAAAAACAATTTTGAAAGACTTTGGAACTCTGAGCAATGAGAATGAGAATGAAAATGAAACATGATACTCACCTCCTGACAGAAAAGTGATAAATTTAAAATGCTGAAACAGACATACATTTTCCAACGTGGCTAATAAGGGAATTTGTTTTGCCACATTATATAACTATGTTTTAAGGGATATGTTATTTGGTTAGTAATTTTTACTTAATTTAATTAATGGGGATAGGAGAGCCAGATTAATTATAAAATATTTGTGACTTGAAAAGTTTAACAAAAATTTTATAAGAGGGATGTGAGCCTGATAAAATGGAATCAAGAGATGAGAGGTGAATGGGGAAGGGGGGAGGAATGTCTTTAATTGGAAGACGACCTTTTAAATTGGATTACCAAAAGTTTTATCAGTATTGGTGACATTTTTAATATCTGTCCTTCTCTTAATCTGGAAGGCGCTCTTTCTCCTTTCCTCCACTAACAGTTTCTCCAATGCTCTGCCCTCCTTCTCCTGTTCTCCTGCCTTTTCTCTACGGATGCCAAGGCAGAGACCATCAGTCCTCACATTGACAGTCCACTGAGAATCGGCTGGAGAAGGCAATTAACACGGGGCCTGAGCTAGAGCTGTGGCGCATGCTCGGGAGTTTGGGCCGTTTCCTGGTAAAGTGAGAACCAGAGTCTCCAGGGTTCACGGGAGAAGAGGCCACACCCATTTCGTGTTGATTGGCAGTTACATTACCTGCCCGGGATCAGGCTCGCAGGCAGCCTGAGTCCTGAACTTCCGGGAAGGTTTCTATCGCCTCCCTGGTCGTGGGACTCAGAAAAGCCCGTCCCTGAGAACCCTAAAGGCTGCGGCTTGCAGTCCTGGTCCACGAGAGCGCAAGATGCTGTC